TCACACACACACACACACACACACACACACACAAATACAACAGCATCGTGCTAGTTATATCGTATACATATTGTAATTCATCAGTATGGTAGAACCAATACCATAGCCAAATGACTTTGCAGTAAAACCACACCAAAATATTATAGGCAACGAACGAACGAACGAACGTCAGTACAGTGTACGTGCGTTGTTATAATATATTATATATATATGTCATTGTGTGCTGTGTGTATAATGCATAGATCTAGACTAGATATCTATGTGTGTACGTGACAAATAAGGAAAGAAGAAAGTGTGTATAAGTGTATCTGTATGACTGCACTGTTTGTAGGGTGTGCATTCATGTCTCTATTAGTCTAGGTCTAAGGGTAGGCCTCTATATTAAAAATATTATTGAGCTGTAGGAGTGACATCGACAGAAAATGAACGACCGTGTTTTAAATTGAAAGTGTACTCGTCGATTCGTGCATCGTTGTTGTGTGTACACCATATCATATCACGTATCTGTCGGATGAGTCTGAGAGACGATGATTTTTAGGGGGAGAAAAAATGTTTCAAAAGCTAGATCTAATCTAGATTAGATCTAAGTCTAGAGACCAGGCCCAGCGATCAGGCCCAGCGTAGTCAGCACATCTACTTGCACCATCGTTATCTTCGCAACAAGGATCATGTTTTGAAGCATGCGCAGAGGTGAACATTGATGTTTCGTTCTTTTCAATAAATAGATCTAGAATCTAGGTAGGTGGAGTCACTTTTATTTTCGTTGAGGCTGAGAGTAGGCCTAGAGCTTAAATCTCGATCTGGTTAAGTTTAGGCAAAAAGAGATGAGACAGTGTGAGTGAATCGTGAAGAAGAGGGAAAGAAGGAGGACCCATAAAAAAAATTAAAAAGTAGTCTAATCCAAGACCAATATAGATTCTAGATCTAGATCTATATCTAGAATCTAGATCTAGTCTAGATCTAGACTTGGGGTCTTCATACCAAGAATACTAATATTATCTAATCTAGACTAAATTTCTCTAGGTCCTTTATCTTCTTTTTCCTCATCAAACAGTCGATGATGATTGAGTTCCAGTACGATTTCGTGAACTTATTTCTTCCTCATTCAGTGAAATTCGCGACTCTTTAAAAGTTCGGGGGGGGGGGGGGGTATTACCCTACCCTACGACCCTACGTGACATGGGCTAATAGATCTAGATCTACCTGTCCTGTGACTGTGATTTAATTCCAGATCTAGTAGTTTGAACGAACTATTTGTAGCGTACCTAGATCTAGATCTAGGCCTAGTGATAAGAGAGCAAGTGGTGACCCAAGGTCTTAGAGTATCTGAAGGCTAGGCTAGCGTAAGTTGAGGGCCTCTTCAGTTTTGCCAAGCCAACAGCGTTCGCCACAACTTTCAAAACGAGGAAATGATGGCGGTATCGTGTGTCAGGTGTACGGCTGAGTCAGGCAGGTGGAGGACCTCCAGGTGACAAGAAGTATTGTTCAAACAATGCTATCGCAAAAACAATATTCAACAAAAGGTATGAAATATACTCACCTTGAAGGGATAATATAGCCAAACACAACGACAGAAATAGCTTTTCCATTTTGAAAAATCTCGTATCCCGGCTTTGACAACAACACACACTGGGTTTACCGGCGTCCGTCCTGGCTCAATTTTTAAGTAGCGGGCGGTTCGGGGGCCTGTGACGTCGACCGCGTGCCCCACGCGGGGAGGCCGGTTGGCTGCTTCGTCGCGCGGATCCGTCAAATCATGAAGCCGTGTACAGGCCTGGCCGTGTACTCCAGCCCCTCTCCACGCACACGAGTTGCTGTGCCGGTTGTCGTTGGCGGGAAGGCTTCAATGCACATACATCGATGCGACTTCTTCTCTACCGGGCCGGCTCGAGGGGTCGAGTCATAGGCCTTACTGTGGTTTTTCCTGTTTGATCAGATTACTCATTACACTTTAGATCTACACGTTGATGATTAGATCTATGTTCATATTAATAAATCCTCATAAACTGTGCATAATTTATGTTTTAATCGAGATCTTCCAGTCGTGATCAGAATTTTGAGTCTAAAGATCAACAACTTCATCTAAAGATGAACGTTTGGTTGTCTTAACTTTCTTTCTTATGAAGACCAATTTACCCCTTAACCTTAACGTGACTTAAAAATAAAAGAAAATTCGAAGTTCCAAATCAACAGCTTCTGATAGCAGTAGTAGCCGACATAATAGTGTAAACTTGTAGTGAGTTGTAGTGGCATAAATTAGCTCGTTAGGGACGATACAAGCTTTATCAATCTTGAAATCTGTACACCCATGTAACTGATTAATTATTTATGAACTGGAATACGTGGATGTTTCCAAACTGTTCTTCCACACTTTGTGTTCCCTCCGCGGAAACAATATAGACGAGACCTCCTTTTCTTCTATAACTGCACGCCTCCTTGAGTCGTCACATACCCAACTATTGAAAGAAAACATTGATTTTGATTGTCGCCGTTAACTGCGCGAATTATCCCGAACCATAATTTTTTAACTGAACCTTATAGAATCTGTTTTGTCTGAGAAGGTCCATTGAACTGACAGAGATATGAAAAGAAATCAATCTAGTAACACTTCAAAATACAATTTAAGATTATGATTATTTTAACAAACGGGTCTGTTTCAAAGCCCTCCGTTTTCGTCAAATCACGAGCGTGTTCCTGGAACTGAGCACTCCTGTTTTATAATTTTGCATATTATCCATAGTGTGCATGCCTTGACTCTGATGTCATCTCTTTACGTCATTTACATAACTCAGATACATTGTGTTTATTTTGAGTTGAGAATTGGCGTGTCCTGGGAAAGATAACATTTTGAAGATTTGATTCTCATTTGTGAGTTGGAAGAGAGACAGGCGGGTGGCAATGACAATTTACACCGAAGTATAATAATAAGCCCTTCTACTTGTGAATAATTATTGACGTTTGCACTTCTGAGTGTAGATGTTTGTATTCTATTTCTCGCTTGGAAAAAAAAACCAGCTTCTCCTGGCTGCGTTCCGTGGGTCTCTATCCTTACCCCTCCCTCTCCTAGTTCCTTTCCCACCCACCTGTCCACCTGGAATAGTCAATAAACGTACAAGAGGCAGACGAATTAATTAATTAATAACGAGTAAGGATAGCTTTATAATCACAGTTTAGCTTAAATATTTTACACTATTCAAGAAAACAAATTTGACGATGGTGCAAATGGATATAATTTGCTATTCTTTTGCTACAATATTAATTTTAACCTCTTTTTTTTTTAATAACTCAGAGCAATATGACAAGAGTCCCCCGTCGCCTCAGTTGGCAGAGCACTTTACCACGATGCAGTTGGAGAGAGTTTAAATCTCAGATGGTATTTAAATAAAGTTTTAGTTCTCGGTGTCTTTCTCAACTTTCAACTGGTGTTAGGCCTATACTTCATGTATTTCGGTGTTGTTGTGTTCGAATTCTAACCGAATTCATTCATCCACTCCTTCATTCATTCATTCATTCATTCATTTAGTTCGTCCGTTCGCTCATTCGTTAATAAGTTAGCCTAGTTAGTTAGGGGGAGGGTGGGGCGTAGGTGGCAAAAACCATTTCCGAGGCTCAAAGTCAAAGGCAAACCAATGCAATTATCAGGGGAGCAGACTAGGGCAGAGAATAAAGGAAACGACGAGAGGGGTTCGGAGAACGGGGATGGGGATCAAGAGCAGCGGTCAAATATCGTGACAAAAACCCACACTATAAGCTTGCCTCTTGTGGGTAATAGAGAGATGGTTTGGACAGGAAGGTCATGAGGGCTGGCGAGAAAGTAGTGGGAGGTGGGGTGGTTGTGGAATAATGGGTCAGTTTATGCCGGGGCAGCAATTACGGGGCTATACCCCTCTCATGAAGTCTCGAGCTCTCGAGGACGCTTGTTTGCAAAGCACACCCTGCCCTTCTTCGCATA